TGAAAAAATCTACTTCTTCCCCCAAAAATGTTAAAACACAAAAAAAAATGACCGGGTAGGCGTTAGCGGCGGCATTGTGTTATTACACAAGCTCGCGCGCATTCTCGAATAGTATAGCTACTGTTTATTAAAACTTATGAAACAACGAACAGAATAAAAAATACAATATCCAACATAGTTTGAATCATTTTGATAGCTTTATTACTCTTGTTGTAATAATGTATCATTGTTGGATAAACGTATTGGTACTTCGTACTTACTTATTACCTATTCTATGCGAGTACGCGTCGACCAGTTTCAAAAATAACTTAATTTCACATAATAAAATCACTACATATTAAAAAACGAATTCGTTTAAATTGTATTTATTAACTTTAAATTATATTTAGTATAAAATATAATTGTACTAATATTTAAATAGTTTAAAAAAGTTACTAATTATATTTTTTTTTACACAGACTTGCTGTAATTTAGCTAAAAATAGTGAAATCGACTCAAATCTAGTGTGGTAATTTTATATGTATTATTATAGTAAATAACTACATTTAAAAATGAAAAATATTTAGGCAAAGGTATGATATGTTTACAATTTGTTATATTTCCTTATGTTAATTATAAATAAGCGTTAACTTGTATCAAAATAACTTTAGAGCAGAACAAGTAGTTAGTATTATTAAACTAAACAAATTTATTTAAATAAAAACCAAAAACTGCTTACCATATTATACAATACGTTATTAGAAAAACTTATTATTTTAAAATAACAAATTATAATTTTAAACTGAGTAAACTTATTGGTTCAATAGTAATAATAATAATCGGGTTTTCAGTCATCCATTTTATACAGTTACAGACTGACTACAACGCTGATCCAGGAATCGAATTTAAAAATTATCTTAAAATGAAATCTTATGGCAATATTTTTTTAATACAAAGTTTTAAAATAACGTTGTACAGAATCTTTTAAAATTCTATCCCAAATATTAGAACTTTGTTATGTGCGTTTTAAAGTTTCAGAACTTATTCGGACCAGGGTATACACATTGAGTTTACTCACTAGCAGTCATTCTTCCAACTTTATGTACTATACTTGTCAAGTCTACCTGTCATAATGATTACAAATTACAATATACTCAAGCGGATAATTACATTTTTTTTATACTAATTTATGCTCGTTCGTTAAAGTTTCTTCTAATCTCATCTCGTCAACCTCTCGCAGAGTTTGCAATTGGTTTTCGCTAACACGCGCACATAATTATTCGGCATGATATTATTACATACATAATACAGCTTATATTAATAGGTTGTCTACCGAGGACTTTGCGAATTGTCCTGCGGCACAGTTGCCATCGTCGCCGGCTTACAGTTCTTAATATTATAATACTTGTGAGTATAAGTAGTGGACGTTAATAACATGGGTGCACATGCGAGGTCATCGGTGTCGACAGCCAACTGTTGTTACTTTTTTTTATCGTTTAATAAACCTTTTTGTTCCCTTTTAAGTTTTATATTATTATATTTTGCAACTAATACCGCGACGCAAAAGCTATACCGTATCATAATATTATAAATGTATATGTTATGCATATAAGATATCTACTGCATACATAAATAATCGCGCCGAACGAAACGGTAGACCACCCACGATTATGCCCGTTTTAATTGGCAAACACTTTTGGTTTTTTTTTTTTTTTTTTTTTTAATACTTCTGTTCTGTATGTTGATATACATAATTGTATAATCTTATATGAATCATGTCTACTGCCTACGACGGTTACGGGTCACTTGGACCGCTAAGAAGTAATGCATACCGATAATAACTGCATGTACGGTATGGGGATTGTGTAAAACGAGGGACGGCGGGGAATATATAATTAGTATTGCCTGTATAAGGATATTGTTATTCATCGGTACAGACATAAAGGTGTATATCAGGATGATATGATAGATTTAAGTATACAAAACAGAGACACAGTGGTCATGTGGAACACAAGTAAACTTTCTAGTAGCTTGTTTTAATGAACCGTTTTGCGGTAATGCGGAATGCCCAGATGTTAGAAATTCAGAACCGTTTCTTGGGGTACCCAGAAAAATCACCATATCCATAGTTCTGTAAGAGTGCGACGATTGCGGTCAATAGTAAATTATGTAGTTAAAAATATATATATATTTAATTTAAAAACTAAATAATAACTTAACATAAATATAAAAAAAACAATTTAGGCCCAGCGTTGCTAATACTAAATATGTATAGCTAAATTAGCATTATTTGAAGATAATAATAATTAAACAAGTTATAACTCTACTGACTTTAAATTTTCTTGTGATTTATTTTAAGTGGCGGACTAAAACCGAGTTCACCATTGGTTTAAATATGAAAAATACATTTGCCGATTTGCAGGGCTCCAACATAAAAATTAACTCATATAAAGATCACCTTAATAAAAATTAATCATCAGAAAGTGGAATTTTGATTTATTAGTAGAAAATGAAAATTTTTTTTTTTTTGTTAACTATGACAACTACCCGTCATGTCGTGCCGTATTAATAAGTATAATTGTTGTAGAGTGGACTTAACTAATTTGAAGGTCGACGAACGATTATCTCACCTCGAGGCATTAGCGGGCGTTTTTTTGTTTTCTTATGGAACCTGGTCAAGAATTTAGAATTCATAACAATAATAGTATAACGCGTACACGGTCTAGTCTCTACACCAAACCATGACCATAATAAGGATAATACCGTGCTCGCACACACTCGACACTGTTGCCGGTAAGAGGCGCACTCGTTGGCGAGGAGACATGACGTATAGTATGAAAAATAACGAATGGTCCTGCGCATACACTGTCGTGTACTTATATGCGCGTTTTATTTTTATACACGTACTTATGTGTGTGTTCCTTTTAGCTGGCCTGCGTTCAAAAATATTATATTATTATTGTTACACGGTGATCCATATTGTACACACAACGTGCGTGCAATATATTATTTTGTTTAACGAACGGCGTAATGAGGTAGGCATTTCGCTGAAGCTGCGGCTCTAACGACCGCAAAATCCAACCGACATAATGCAATATGGATAATGGACAGGACTATATGTTCGGAATATGGGATCGCTTTACGATAAAATAAATTTTCTTTGATTTCCTTTAATTAGATCTGAGTGACTAATTGTAAGTACAAATAACAATAACAATGTGTGTGTGTGTGTGTGTGTGTGTGTACATAACGTCTTGTGACCCCGAAGTTTATCGGCAACACGGTGTGGCTTCCAAACACGCGAAGAATGCATTTTATATAAATATATATGTATAGATATTATTAACATACATTGTAGTATTGCACGCGACCACGATATATGCGTTGATATCCAACGGGAATATCTACTTCTCGGTCCGAGTAAGGTACGTACCTACCTACGATGATAAAACTTATTGGTGTACAGGTACAGGCATTGAATAGAAGAAAATTCAAAACCGTAAGGTACCTCGGAAGGCAGGAAATCGTAAATCGCATCCGAAGAAAACTGCAATAACGGCGATGAGATGTGCAACGGGACGACCGTTAGAAACCAGATAGACCTTTGAACCTATAATCCTCTACTAACATAAGGCGGTGCGGTGTTGTTGTTGCTGTTATCTCTTTAATAATGCTATTTTATTGTGTTGTGAAATACTGGCGGAAACATCGCAAGACGACCAACGGTTTCCTCCCAAATAGGACCAAAGACCATTCGAACTTACTGTTTTGGGTATAAGTTACATATTATTATATTATAAAGTTTTATAATTTAACAGCATATTACGCCTAATCAAATTTAAAGTTATTACTGACAAAAACATATCCAAAGTCGATTAAGGATATAAACCTCTATTGATAAAAATTAATTATGGTAATGAAATGGCTCTAATTTAAAAAAGTAAATGTATTTTTTAATTTGGATAAAAAAAAAATCAAATAACCGAATAAACTGCATAAACAGTTAAATCCAGATTTCATATGTTACTTAACAGTGATTATTATTGAAATACTACTTTAAGTTATAATTTATTTAGTTAAAATTCAGTAGTAGTTAGTACATATTGTTATTACCGCACAAATTGCTTGTAAACGTGTTAAAACTCATTTTACGAAAGTCGTTTTGGCTTATAATTATTGTTCACATTGAAAAGAACTATAAACATACGGCATACCTAATCTCAGTTCTTATTAATAATAATAATATTTCTGTTCGATTGCTTTGGAGATTACAAAAATATTAAATTATTAAAATATCATAATATACAAGTCTATATTTTTTCTGGGCAAAAAATAGTTACAGGGTTGTTTAAATTTCACTAACTACATTCAATTTAACTAAATGCATAAATTTCTTAGTTTTTAATTATTTGTGTTTAAATAGATTACTAACGCAATACGGTGGCGAATAGGTATACAATAGGTAATACAAATAATAATTCCGTAGATTTCCCATTGAAAAACAAAACCATTTTCGTGGAGATGTATAAAAAACCAAATTATAATAATTTGTACTATATTATTATTAAAAAAATTTCTGTCTCTTCTTGTAACAATTTATTTTGTACATACCTTTGGGTCGCGACCACTTGACGAACGACATGCTATTATTTGGATTGGACCCGGCAACGGTTAATTTTCGAAAACCGTTTACTATTTTCTCCTATTCAAAATGCATTGACGAGCGGCTGAGTACGACTATCGGGTCAACAACTTGGAATTTATAATGCGAATGACATATCTTTATTATAAATGTTATAATACCAAGTGGATGTATCAGTCGAGGGGTACGAGCGTGACGATCACTGGGTCACAGTCCAACTGGCCACTACAGTTAAGTGCGTTTCCTACAATGCGAACCTTATCTCGGAAAATAATGGGACTTATCTCGGTTATCCGATTTAAAACGATTTCCAAACAATGTTATTGTTACCTATGTGTGTACCGATAGCTTCTAATCTGTTAATAATTGATGTGTTTACCTTCTTTGGGCTTGTCGTCGTCAGTCGGTCCTGTTGTCCTTTTGGTGGTCACGTCGTCGTTGGGTTCTGGACATTTGATTGGAGGTGTTGGATCCGAATTACTAAACAAATCGTGAAATTATAATATTAGTAGATCCAACTGTTATCGAACCTACAACGGCAGCGACATAAGTCGAATTGACCATACAAATTAGTAATTTAAAAACAGAAGTAATTCTTTTCTAATATAAAATGTAATTATTATTTTAAAAGTCTGATCTGAAATTGACTATTAATTGTAGTTTTAACGCTAAACTGAATAGGACTCAAGATTATGTATTTTTAATGTATATATATCTGAAAAGTCACTGAATGAATTATTGTGTATTGTTTTTTTTTTAATAGCTGTTTAATATATGTTATTGTACTCGTATTATATTTGATTTTAATACGACAGGATTTTAATTAAGTTGTAGGCACGGGTAGACCAACGAATACAATATGAAATCATTAAAACTTTTTTTTGAAAAATAATAATTCACTCCGAACGTATGGTAAAAGCGCGCCGTACCGACGACGCGTAGACAAACACTAGTGCGTACGTGTGTTTGCATTTTAAGGGGCAGTCGGTCGTACCTAATTATATTACTATATTGTTTTATGTATATTGTGTTTCGTTTGCGCCTTACAACGGTGCGGCGTAATGTCTAAAAGGCAAGTTCCCATTTTTTGTTAGATGTCTAACAATAATATTATTTAAAAAGTCAATATGAAAAAAAAAAAAACATTTATACATAATAGATCTTGATGATTGGATAATGTTTTTAACATTTTATTTTATTTGCCACGAATATATAAAAATAAAACAACTAAGGAAGTTCATAAATTTAAATATGTACTATTAAAAGAAACTAGTTATAAAAAAAAACAATCTAGAGCCAAAATACAAAAAGTTGATTTATAAATATCATTATTATAGAGACGTATAATATAATATAAAGAAGAAAAAACTATAAAGTATTATTGCTGGTACATTTTTTTAATAATAAAATAACAATATTAAATTATCCACGGTGAATTATACGGTCAATAATTTTTCCTGAAGACTATAGGAAATCCGTCGTGTTACCTACATCTATAGGAACCGCATTTAATATTATTTAAGAGATAGGCTAGGGTTTAATGGACTTTTGATTGCCTTTACAAATTAAACGCATTGTGGAAATCTATAGACCAAAACCGTGCTAAAAAGATTTACATGGTTTTATTAAGCAAAACAAGTAGGCGTGGTAGTTATTACTTTTGCTGTTTTTAGACTATAATTCCTGAATAATAAATCGGTCATTGAAAAGTTAGTAAAATTAAGGTCATTTTAGGAACTCTTTTTTTCAGTACGGTTCTTTGATTATGTTAGGTAATCGAGTAAGACAAATATAACATTTTTTTTTCATTTTTAGATAAACAAAAAATTTTCTTTTGATTAAAAGTTATAGTTATGGTAATTTTCTCAATAACGGCTACCAAGTGTAGGACATAGATGTTAGATCATTTAGATCTAAGATATACCTAAACCTGTTTATGAAATACTTGACACAACTGGCATAATCAATATTAGAGTTATCTTTCGTCTTCAGTGTAGAATATATTAGGATTTATGGCCCATCAATTGATATAAGTTTTTATCTATGGTTCTTACATGTAATCGTCACTGTCTTTGTCGTTTGTTTCGTCTTTGTGGACGACGTTAACGAGTTTGGGCGGCAACCGGTATGCGGGAGGCGGCGGGCCTGCGGGTAACGGCGGCGGCGGCGGTGGCGGCTTTTTCTTGGGTCGCACTTCTTTGCGCGGCAACGGTTTGGGTGGCAGACGGTCCTCCTCGGCGACGGCCACCAGTTTTTCGTACAAGCCCACGTCGTCGCCGATGGCCGCGCTCGACGAGAACTCCCGTTCCAACTGCATGAACGGCTCCAGCACGCGGTCGAGCACGCAATTCTTGGACGACTCGTTGTCCGGCACCACAAACGCCGGACACTTGGACACCACCGTGGACACGCTACTGTTGGTGTCGTCCGACCCAGACTCGCCGTGGTATACGAATCTAAAAAATTATGACACTATGAGATTTGATCTTTTTTTTTTACATTTATATATAACATTCATTATATATTTACATTTATATATCGTTAAAAAAATGATATGACAGTTATAATTAACTCTGCTTCCAATAAAATCTGTTAAATGACAATTCGTGTCTCACGAGGAGTTTTACTTGTTGGAATTTCTACCACATAAATAGGTTTTACATAAGTGTAATATTTAAAAAATTAACTATAAAAATCATCACAGTAACTGTATATATTTATTATTTACCTAGGAGAAATCGAAAAGAGTAAATCCACGTGGTAGTCCTGTTTTATGCTTTATCACTACAATGCTTGATCCGTTAAACATAAGATATCAGTCTTATGATCTTTGAACTTTCACTAGTTACGCGTTTGCATAATAAAAATGCATAAGCAATTATTAACGATGCGAACGGAACCACTTTTGTTTTGTATATTAAAATGTTCAATACACTTCCGGAACCCATAACGACTAGCACAAAAATAATATTTTGAACAAAAAAAATAATATGGTGTACGGCTTATACACAACAATTTTGCCAACGTTTATTTATGCGAATAAGCTATTTGTTTATTTTTTTTAACGAATTTCTATGAATAACAGATAATTACAACCCAACAAAGGACACTAATTATTTACATAAAAATATACCATGTCAATAGATTTTCATTAGCGCTTGTTTATTTTTAGCAAAGCTATTTCTTAAACGTTAAACGTTTAGTCGTTAACATAATTTATTGAATAATAACGGCATCGCCAGAAATAACTAGTAGTATAGTATAATTGTTATTATACATATTATTATTATAATTATATTTCCATTATATTTATATTAAATTATTATTAAAATGTATAATGATATAATAGTATTAGTTAATGGGTAATGTATTCTAAAGTAGAAATAAAACTGTATTCAAATGGTAATTGTACAACAATACGTTAAAACTACAGTTAAAAATGATCACTCATATTTATAATTTACTATCTATTAAATGGCTTCTATTAGTATGCTAATATTCACTGGTGCCGTTAGTCTATCTGCATAAAATGTTTTATGATAAATTAAAAAATAAATCATAATACATTTAAATAATTCTAAAATAATTTCACTTAATATTAAGAAATAAATTAGTGAAACGTTGTTTTATTATTAGTATTAGTATGAATATTTATATTATCACTGTACTCAACGATAAATGTGTTATTATTAGAATTAAGGATTTGTTTAAGTCGGCGGAAAAATTAGTAAAAATATTTTTAATTTCATTTAGTTTTAATAACCAAATTTTCTCCCGGGGCACTGATGCAGTGCGCATCTATAGAGGAACCACAATGACTGTGATTTTTTATATTGTAAATAAATAAAACAAAAGTAGCTTTAGTTCCCAATCGATTTTATTACTTAATTTAAGTTAAGTCAAGGTTAAAAGTGGCAGAGTACATTTTTGTTTTATAGTAACTACATTTTAATATTGATAATATTAAGAACGATTTTAAAAAGCTCTCAAAAACTCAGAATATATCTTAAGATTTACACTTTAAAATTTTGTAAATTTACACTTGGCAATCTTTCAGGAGCCAATTTACACTTTTGTATGATTGCGTTTCCTGAAATTTTCGGGAGGTGGGAGGGTATTTTTTAAACCACATAAATGTTGGTAAAAGTCAACAGTTCACGTTGTAATATACCTTTCGACGGCGTCCGTGTAGATAGACGACGCCAGTGGCACCGGTTCGGGTTTTTTCTGTTTGCGAGGTGGCACGGGCGGCGGAGTTTTGATCGTCGACCGTCCGTCTACCATGTGCAACTTGACAACCAGCCCGGACTCTTTGAGGCACCGCACGCAGTCGTCGCGACTCATCCGGTTGACGGGACGGCCGTTGATCCGGACGATCTCGTCGCCGGGACTGAGAGGTCCCCAAGAGGCTTCCGTACGGGACGCGGGACTGCCGTTGGCGCAGGACTGGACGAACAGCCGGTTGCACGTGTCCACGCCGTCGAACCGTAAACCAAAGCCCAGCCTTTCGCCGGGTAGACGGTAGACCAGCACTTCTTCGGCGGCCGGCGGTGTCCCAGGGGCGATGTTCGCCGGCACGGACGTGTTCTCCCCGATGGCCAGCACCGTGACGAACGTGTCGACCTGCCGCGGTGGACGGACCCCGTCCACCGTAACAACGGTGACGAAATCTTTGGTGGCCACGGTGGCGGCCATGTGTCTGGCCACTGCTGCTTTGGGTCCTGCGAACACAAGGAACCGGTTGTACCGTTAGTATGTTTTATTATACATATACGTACGATTACACGTATAATATTATGCGCGCGGACAAACGTTATAACGGTGACCTCGATCAAGCGGGTTTTTCAGAGATTCGCGCCCATCGCTCAGTTCGTACAAGAGCAGGTACATATTATTATTATATACACATATGAACAAATATTTAGTTTATACAGTCAATTGCATTGTACAACAAAATTTAACCTTCTTTAAACGAGAACCAAATTAAATTTTCGTTTTTTTCGCTAAGTCCGAATCTGGGCTCAGCATTTCTTTATCACATCTAGTTTTTTTTTAAATCGTTCCAAAGTTGTAAAAAACAACATTTTCTCGTATTTTCAGCAGTGTTTTTTACGTTTGAATAATATGTTGTTTTTTGAAATTAATATAGTTTTTCTAGGTATTATCATTCTATTTTATTCGCTTAGTTCGGAATTAGTTTCAGAATTTACACTTTACATAAATTCTGATATTTCTAAAAGCTGCATATCTGAAAGTAGAAAATATGTAGCATAAAAACAAATCCATTTGAAATATATTTCTAAGTTAAATATATAAATGTTAAAATCAGTTAAAAATGATTGAAAGCTAGTTTTATTTGCAACACGGTATAAATTATACAAAAATATATTTATGATGCTCAACTACCTGTATATTTGGTTGAAATTATAAAATTGCAGATCTTTTAATTAATTAAGTCTTGACTTATTAAATACGAAAAAATATAAAATTGAATAAAAACTACCTAATTATTAATTATAATTGTATAATATCTAAAGAATACATTTTTTAAAATTAAAAATCGATTATTACTTTTACGTAATTTTATTACGTTTAAATTTTATTTTTGTTTCAACTCCCTTGTTGTTCTATGGGGACATTACAAAGTCACGATTTTGACAAAAGTCTATTTTATCATAATTTCAGCACTTGGATGCCAAGAGAGAAATTATTTCAAATAGTCAAAAAATATCTAATTGAAAAAAAAGACAAACATAATACCATGTAACTTGTTGCAGTTGTCGAGCCATGTTTTGTTTATTATTGATTTTCTATCTCAATCAGGCTAACGATCGATTAGATACTGCACACGAGTGCAGATCGAGAGTGTGAAATAATGATATTTACAGTGAAAGTAGTTTATAATATATAGTAATTATCACGCTATTTTCTTACTTTGACTCGTCAAAGCGCACAAGTACCTACGCGTTCGTGCACGCGATGCATTTATATTATGAAGTAGGTAATGTTTGTGCTGCAAATCAATGGATGTCAGTGTTTTATCGAGTACAAATAATTGTATACAAAAAACGCACGTGCGAGCGTAGAGAAAACGTTTATTTTAGAATTTCGCAAGCAATTTACATAGTCTGTATAATTCATAATTTTAAATAATTTTGTTATGTTTTACAAAAGTATCATTATCGTTATTGTACAAACGGAGAACAAGTTTGGTTAGTACGCCGACGCCATGTCACAGTCACAGCGAGATTCATCCATCACTGTTACGGCGGGATCGTTAAATAGATAACAATTCTTATCAAACGATATAATATTGTAAAACATCATTAAAATATTGTGTTATTATGATTCCGCCACGACGACAAACGACGGCCAACTAGTGGCTAACGTATACGAGCTAGATGAATTACTTGAAGAATCAACTCTGACTCGACAAGTTAAATATAGTTTTGTACCACAATATTGTCAATGTGAAAATTGTGTACCACCATTAATATTGTTAAAAAATACGGTTAGAGTAAACCCGTGATCGGCTTCCCATCCAGGTTAAAATTTTGAAGTGTAGGAAAGTCACAGGTCCGTGATAGCTCAAGCGATTTTTCGCAAAGGTATTTTCGTTGAAACATAAACAATGACATTAGTGGTAAAAAAAAACACCTAATACTGGAGAAATATTATAGATTATGCGAATTACCACTCAAGGGCTCAGCTCGGTTTCATTTGGACTTGGGAGACGGTAGAAAATCTTCCTCGGCGACCGACATGCAGGCAAATTAACGTCATACAGTGTAAGTCTTGTGTGTTAGTCTTCGCGCTAATTTCTCTCGTGTTACACGGGCACGTCATTTAGCATCAATTGACATGTTTTCACGTCAAAGCACGCATAACAACCATACATTTACCCGGACGGTGAATTTCTCTTCCTTGACTGGAAGCGATAGCGCACACACTTGCACACTTTCTTAACCTTGAAATTAATTTACAATAATAATGATTGTTCGATGTGTCCTGGTTCACGCGATAAATGTCATCAAAATAAGTTCATTGTTTTGGAAGACTAACATATAATTTCAAACCATTTCCTCATACACGCCCTTACCCACCCATGCGGTGAGTCAAAGAGAGACAATTCACGTCAGATAAAATAAAAAACCATGAAACTATTAAAATGTGTAATCGACAACATGTGGTGACTTCAACATTGAAATGAACTTTTTGTCTTTTACTAAGTATAATACCAAAGAGTGGTTTAAACAATAAGTTGACTAGTCAAGGATATTAGGACATTTTCCAATGAAGGCAAGAACCCTCTAAGAGTTTCGGTGTGTTGTAATTTAGTTGATGTTAGGTTCTTCTTACAGGTGATGTTTTCCTACAATGAAACATTAATAATTATGATTCTTAAATAAATATATATTATATAAATCGAGGTTAGCAATTTATTAGTGTAACCGAAAATAACATTTTAGTTATTATCTAAGTACTAAATTACTAGCAAAAACTATTTTGCAAAAAACTAATCGTTAAACGTGATTAATCGATTCTATTGTTTTAAACATTTGTTGACCAAATAAATAACATACAACCATAAACAGCCGTCTTAATGTTTATGAGTTATCTGATAAGTCGCCGCTATATTATGCAAAGCAGGCATTCGTCGTACAAAATATAAATCTATAGTAATAAAATATAATATAGGTCATAACTTATATGGAATCCAAGACGTAACGTAATAATATTAGGTATTTACCGATATTTTTTAATGATTTATTGTGCGACTGTAGAATTGCGGGCTATATGCTAAGTAATCACATTTAATAGATTGTTAACACGAAAAACAAATGTAGAAATTGTAGAACTTTACCTCACGTTAAAGTTTAAACACTTGCAACGAAAACAAATAATGTTAAATGACTATTCTGCGACTCGCGAAATCGGTTAAAACCCTATAAGTACATATTTTATTGTTTCTGTATAATACAAGACGAAAATAAACCGAACTTTAAACGGTTAAGTTCAACAGTGTGTCGCTTCACGGTTCGTTACACGCCGAGATATTATTATAACAATATTAAGTGTGTATCGCGCGAGACGCAAGACTAGATCACTGCGCGGTCTGAATGTTCGGTTAGGTTGAAAAAAAAAAATCAAAACGCGTCTTACCGTTTCATTTTAATAATAACTTCTCCGGGTATGACTGGTAAATAAAAAAAAAAAATTCTACCTAACATGATTATAAACTAGTTGAGTTACTTATAAATATAATAAAAAATTTCCTTCAACAACCTTGTATCTTTGTGTATAAAAATAAATTTGTTGGATAACCAACCGAATTTATAGTTTAAACGGCTCACGAACGACGCGAATCGTCATAGTCAACATAATCCCGTTTGGAATATTAATTTTTACAATTTATTAGTCATAATGTTAGCAGAAGTTGTGTATCATTAAATATAATGATGCTTCTTAATTTATTTTTTTTACTGTGAAAAGTCGTGTTTTTATTATGCTACCTGTCGTATTTTTGATTAATTAATTAAAGAATAACTTAATCTCTTTTTAAAAGTAATCATTAAATGTGATTATACATACGCAATCATTAACGGAAAATCTCGAATTTCAATCACGATACGATTAAAGATCATATACATAATATTATATCCTGGCTGCTCAATTGAGTTTAAGTTTGTAAAAAAAGCCAACTTTTTAAAGTTGAGTTATGCATTTTGTACAATATTAAATATTTTTCTGAACGAAACTAAATAAATAGAAAATGTAATCAAATAGACGGAGTAATTTAACACAAAAGTTATAACTGTCCTCGGCCATCGTTGTAAGGTCGTGTTAATGAAACAAAAAAAACAAAATAGCGGTTCTTTTGCGCTTTGATGGCTTGAATTTAATGAACACTAAACGTTATCTAGACTTACCGACCAGTTTCCAAAGACCCAAGAAAACCCGTTAATCCTTGATACATTTATAAATATTTTAATACACAAATAAACGCTATACTATGGTCATAATATACATAATTTCTATGATTTGTAGTATATTCGCCGTAAAAATAATTATAAAACATATTTTTTTAATAATAATTATTATCAAGTGTCATGATTTACAAATATTATAATGTTATATTTTTATTGTAAGTATACCGTTTGAAATTAAAATTTGCATGATATATTGTAATCTGTACGATCCAATGGAATTTCTTTCGTTTTCTGCTTAATACTAGCTGTACATTTATATTAATTAGGACGTTAAATTAGATTGGTTCGAGGTTAAACTAATAATTAATTATTAAACCTTGGGGATATCTACTAATAATGCCTACTTCTAAATATAGTTAATTAAACAATATTATTTCAACGTTCATGTCGAATGGGCTCAACCGCGAGCCACATAGGATTCAATACCGAACAAAATAGTTTTTGCCCCAATTATATAATTTTCAACAAACGATAAAAATACAACTTCAAATAAAATACATTATGTTTGTAACACTCGTGTGCTTAACGGTTTATCTACTTCTAATAGTTTGAAACTTTTAACGGGCGCCAAGTGTCACGCTGGACTGGAAAGGGTTAAAAACCATAGCAATATTTCTCAACGTTTTAACGTTGAACGCGCATATACCTCGCAAGCATTAATCACACTCAGATTCATATTTTATATACCTTTGGGTGTATAGTTACAAGACTTAATCGGTAATTGTTGGGTAGAAGAAGTTCTCACGTGCGAAAACGCTAGTACAGATAAGTGTTGTGCACGGGTAATGTGTAGAGGTTTCATTACACACATTAGTGTATACACATAATATCTTACTATTAATTGTTACTGCCTGGGGTACCGTTTGGTCAAGATCGGACAGGACAGTGGAAAAAAAATATTGCATCCGGCGAAAACACGTTTTTAGTATACTAATTTTATTTTAGCTGTTGCCGCTACTGTCATTGATGTTATATCTACCGTGTTTTCATTTACATTTGCATTTAAGATGCGCCTGTACGGTTTAAAAAAATAATATAGAAACTCGGCAAACAGATGAGTTTGTAGTATTTTTTTCATTGGTCAGCGAATTTTACCTTTACTAAAAAAAACATTGGAATAACAACCGTTAACTTCTAAAATAACATAAACTAAACAAAAAAATGACAAGCAAAATTATCTGCATTTAATAAAAATCGTTTTTTTAAAAAATACATTTTAAATTCGAGAGAGAAATATAATTAGTGACCACTCGAGAGCATGACATTGTAGGACAAAAAAATTGATTATTACTTGTGGGGGGCTTCATTGCGTGCGAGGACTGGCACAAGTGGTTTTATACGGTTACGCGAAGCTCTATAAGGTATACCTTTACCTACATACGATAATAATATTATCATACACATAATGTGGGATGGGAATGCTTGAATTTCGGGTCACGGTCGTTAAAAGTAAGCAGAAAAAAAATGTTGGCCTAGCATCGCAGTTACGCGAGTAAATTAGCCAAAAAAACTTTTGAACATCGCCAGTATAGACTAACAGCTATGTAATTAACTAACTATAACCGGCACACTGTCATTACCCAGCAATGATTGTGCAATTATAGTCTATAATAACTATATTTAAGCATATTAAACGTTGAACGGAATGAGCTATTTTCTCCGCACATCCATCACACTACGGTGTGGTCGAGTTTTTCCAATAAGTCCAAAAATCGCAACGATAACGTCGCGTTTAGATTAATTGAAAAATAGTGTGTAATCGTTTAACACAGCAAAACAAAATTCTATAAATAGAGCGCTTTCAAAATCGTTACATTTTGATTTAAGAATCAAATGTCTATATCCGATTAAGGAACATAAAATACATTTTTCTTAACTAAACCATTTAATTTCCAAAAACTGAACGGTGGTTTTTAAAAAAAGTGTATATATTACCGTAAGATTGCAAATTGTGTTTCACCAACGACGTCGCAGATTTTTAAAACGTACAGTTCACGTAAGTTGCTAATCAGACATATTTGTTTCAATTTGGTTGACATTTCCAGAAAACCCGTTTTTGTCAAGTCTGTATTTGGTGGTACCAGGTGCTGCAAACGTTAAATGCGCTTATGAAAAGGAAAAACGCTTTGCACAATAACGTGTAATACGACCCCCCGCATTGGCCGTTGCTAATAAATCATTTGAAAGTACACGAACCGTACAAGCGCCTTTCTAAACTTCTAAACGACTTCCGTACTTCCCGGGGTGCACCTGGGAAATGCAGCAAAGAATTCGTGTATCTTTTACGGATTTGCATTTTTTTTTTTTTTTACTCGGTGCTCGTTTCGAAATCTTATCCGGCCCAGTACATCCAGTAAAACCGCATAAACGTTACGATATGATATTCTTAAACGCCTGCCATCATCGCGCGTGGCATATTGAGTCGTTCAAGTCTTCTTCAGCCTCTTCTACTCGGTCGTGTCGATCAAAATAACCACGTTAATATCGATAATAACAGTAATAGGTTACACGGACGACGATAATACAGTGTAGATGCCATAACGGTTTTTTAGTGTTTTGTTACGGGCTCGGGCCTTGACTTTCAACGGGCCGTTGAAACCGTCGAAAAAGTGATGGAGAAAATTGGTTAGATCGACCGATAGACGATCGCATTATTCTCACACATAAACATTGGAGGTATACACTATACACGGGGTATTGTAGTATATAATATTATGCTTAGAGGTATTTTTATTTTTTATAAGACGTATTTCCATTCGTATTAACTACCAATATATTATGCATGTTATTATAGTCCCGCGTGGATTATACGATGTGATTCAAGCAATCAATAAATCATCAGCTAAAACTCAATTATCTCTCTTCTTCCAATATGTTTTTTTTTTTGTATAATTTTGTACACATAAATATAGTTCACCGAACCGATAATAACATCACCGAAAACTTTCGATTTTTTATTATATATTTTGATAACCTACATAGCGTCGTTGCCGCGAAAAAAACTACCATGTGCTAAAACCTAATTATCCAGGAGACACTAAAACGTGTAAAACGATATATAGTAGGTGACGCACAGGTTCAATTTTTTATTTTTCATTTATTCTACAATGGAGATAGCAGTTGGAGATTTTATCATATGATAGCTTATTTTTTTTCTGTATCCAGGGATACCAAAACCTCAAAATTGTAAAATTAGCACATAGGTTTTTTCGCGACAACGATGATAGTATATAAGTATAAGTACCTACACACAAGCTATGTTAAGTTGAAAATAATAACTAATCGAAAAACCAGTTTGAAAATGTACGTCCCAAGTTAAAAGTAGTATTTTCAAGTAAGTGTATGACTCTATGAGAACATTTTTCACCTCATCTCACCTAAACTTTTAGAGATATTGGAATCAACATCGATGGAGAATCACTCTGTATACACCTAATAATGTTTTATAGCAGGCAGACCCGGATACGTGTTGCCGTAGGGCTAATCCACGACCAAGGCGATCTGACCGCGACCGTTAAAACGATTTTTTATCAAACATAACAAACGGTCATTACCTCTTTCACTTCTTCCTACGCTCTTAGAACCTAGCCTAACAATTGTATATTTTTAACATTCTCATAAGACGCAGGTGGTCGTTAAGGTTTTTTATTTATTTATATATACTTAAATGAATAAAAACACAAAAAACCGCTGCCAAATCATTGGTACGTAACTTTTTCAAAATCAATCCTACAAATATTATTTAAAAGACTATCGGTTGCCATGCTAACAGTACAAAAAATAAACATCTCTTATCAGGGTCAAAAGGTATAAGGTATCAAGGACTAAAAAACATAAAAAATAAATAACTTTGATGGCAATAAATGTGTTAATAACCGTGTTATTTTATTTATTGGACAGGTATTTCTTAATAAAAATGCGTGAATGCAGTTTTTCAACTTTTCAAACTAAGAGTCTTATCAACTAAATCTACTGAGGATTTTGACTGGTCGAATAGAAAATGAAAACTACCAAGTTACAACTGTTTTTGAAAAATAACGAATACTACGTTAAATTAATCACCCTGTATACCCGACAAAAATAAATAATATCATCAAAAAGCACAATAAGTAAATATTAAAAAGTATCAATATAAAAAACCATTGTTTGTAATTTTGTTTTTACTTTATTTTTTAGGTATAAAGTAAGTTCGACTGATAACAGCAAAAATAGTCATAACTTTTACAATTTTTAACCTACAGTCAATCAATGGAATCGACAAATAATACACCTAAGAATCTATCTAAACAAAACAATTATAGTACTTCTGAACCGAAGTCCAGGGTGAACGCGAACGGAATAATATATTCTTATCGTTATTTTAGCGAGTAATATGTATCGTTTTCTAGCATTTCAATTTTAAATTTTAGTATACAATTAGAAAACGAGAAAAGTGAGTTTAGAATATATTACATTTTGTAACATTCAGATATCGACAAAATATTTTTATATCATACATAGTAAAAGTAAATTTTCTCCACATTTCTAGTAACATTCGCAAAAATATGTTTTCTAATGTCTTTGCCTTGAGACTAAAGATTGCAGTCTAAGCAGTTTACTCACATAAATTCGTCTCTAGCACTAACCATTTAATTCGATTTAATAGGCAAAATTTCACTTGTCAAACTGGAACTTTAACATAAAATCGTTTATATTTTTTTTAACTGCTAATTTTATTATACTATTTATCCAATATCATACTTCTATCTATTAAAAAATAAAGAAATGTAATAAACACTGTCAGTGAACAGCAAAATTAAATAGTAGTTTTTTTTTATATTTTATAAATTATCATTTTACAGTAGTGTTTTTCTAAACTGCGTCGAGCTGGTTACTTTCTTTGCCACAAACGACTTCAAACCATGATGTATAAGATAAATAATTCATAATTTAATAGGTTTAATAAAACAAATAATATTTAAATTTGAAATGATTTTTTCTTAACGCTTCTTATATAGGTATACGTGCACTTGGAGAAATCAAAGCAAAAATAAATCAACGTTTTATAAACTGAAAGGAAAGTAAAAATAAGTTTTTTTTAAAATTTCGCAATCCTCGTTGTTCTTGGAGAACACATCCATCTACAGATTCGCACCGAAGCGTTTGTTTGAAAGTGATTTTAAGACTTTCAGTTACGGTAGTTTCTAAAAACCTGATCCCAATTCGTTCCTTCCACGCTATGCCCAGACACCACTTTGCTGTTTTATATTTAATTAAAATTTATTTTGGGTAATATGTTTATTACAGACCGACAGAGACCAATAAGGCGTATCAGCCGTGTCTGGTTTGAAAATCAGGCGTGTCGGACACTGCCTCATCTAAAAAATGGTCGGAAGATTAATAATCGGTTTCTAGTTATTGAAATATTTTTACCGTTGGCATGCGTCGCCACGCGCTTAAGACAAAATATAACAAGTGTTGATAAAATCGCCAATATTAGAAATAATGTTTACTAGAAACGGAAATAAACCGACAACGCTTTCATTGGCGCCAAGACTTTAATCCGACGGTATGCGCCAAGTGAAAGCGGACAACGAGCTTTCGATCAAACTGGCACCTTATCCATGCGATATCTCTCTCTTTCTCTTTCTCGGCTAGGTTTACATGTTTTTGGCGCGGTCGCCATCAAAACATTACAGCAACGCGCTGGCACCGATTCGCATATTATAGGTACGCACTCGACGACGATCTTAAGATGTTTGTTCGGGCATATTATGTTATTATTTCTCCGTGACATTAGCCGTGACCCCGCCATAAAGTTCACGGGCCCGTTTTATGCCTAAGTATTAAAATGTCGCTGTTGTTGTGTTTACGTGCCGTGTGAAAGGGTAAGTAATGCGCGCGCGCGCGCGTGTGTGTGTGTGCAGTGTGTGAATGAATGTGTTTTAGGTGCATTCTGACGGTTGTTGTACTTGACGAATCACGGCGCCTTCGCCCACAAGGTCGACGGCAGAATAGGTAACCGACGCCGGCTCAACGCTAGCCAATGAACCCAAATCGCCATCTATACATTATCGTACCGTATATTATGCGTAATAATAATGTACACATACAATACCGCGTCGAACCGTTACTACAGTTGCGCGGTAACGTCGTCCGCGCGCGCACTAGACTTAACCCGACAATACAATATTGAAACAAGTCCCAATGCAATAATAATAATTGTTATTATTTTTTATCATAGTCAACACTCACTAGACGGTCCGGTGGAGCGATAAAGCCGGGTGGTCGCTAGTTTGGACCGTGTGCATTATAATCATTGTTATAATATTATTATTATTATTAGTATGTTCGACCAAACTGAACCAATTGAACGGATGCAAAAAAAAAAAAACCCCGACGACACACACGTACTACCAGAAAGACTGTTAAGTACGATGAACAAAATATACACACGCACGGTACACTGCTATTATAATACTTGCACGCTGTGGCGGACGCACGTGTGGCGTGCACTACGGTCGAGATGCTGACTAACCAGTAACCAGACCCAGTAACCGCCGACCGGCAGCAACAGCGGCGTTGTCCGGGCGCAGAGAACCGGGTCGTGTACCGCCGCTGCCACCTCCATTCACACTCACCCTGCCGTCGCCGCGGGCCCGGTCACCAACAATAACTGCAGACCCCAACCGGTCTTCTTCGCCGCCTTCGACCCAATAATACTATCACAATACCGTCCGAACAGGGTGATCCACGCGCGGCGCATCTGACCAAAAGAATCCTCCACCACAAACACTGGTGTAGATGGTCGTTGGTTAAAAAACCAGATGTCCAGAAAATGTTTGGTATTCATCAAATTTAAATTTGTAATTTATAGAGTTTTAATATTGATTGGGTAATATTAAACACAATTGTACAAAAAGAATTAAAAACACCCGTAGAAAACTATTATAAATACTGTTCAAATAATTAATTCAAAATTTATAAACAAATACTTAAAAGATTTACAAGATTTATAGTAAATAATACAGTAGTAATAAAGTAGATAAGGTGAAACTGTCGATATTTTTTCTATTTATTATCTAAAAATAGCTTGAACACCATGAAATCGCCCTTTTACGAGGGCAATGACAACCACTCTATCGTAGGTCATCGTCTTCCTGGTCTCTCAAATATTGTATATTACTACAGATTTTTAGCTACGTTGCGGTTTTTCTTTTTTGTTATAGAGGAACATATTTAGTAAATTTTGTCCGGTTGTACTTACGTAGAATGTGGGGGGAGGGAGCTAAGGACAATCTCATTGAATGTATTCATATTTAATACAGGTAAATACATTTTTTAGTTAATAATTAATTATGTAATTATGTAATTATTTATTATAATTATTATGTACATTTAAAATTTTTTTTTAGTAAACCGGTAATTTTTTAAACAATTTGATAAGAATTGCGTTAGTAAGACGAACGCATCCATCGAATTTGCAAACAAACAATACACGGCGACACGTCGTCCGATTTCCTTAGATCATCACAGTAGCGAATAGACCCCACAGCGGATCACCCGGTATATTGTAAATGATTATTATGATCGTGTCGATCTCGGTGGACGTCGAACACAGGCAACAACAGCCCGGTCCGGGTGGGGATAAGTCAGCGACGGTGGACGAGGTGCAGTCGGTGCCGGTCGCCGCGGTGGTTGTCGGTTTGCATGGCTGGCGGTGCGGTGTGTACCGGTGAGAGTCCAAAGATGTTTTGCACGAAAGTCGTGGTCTTTTTACGATTTCCTTACCGGTTTTGTCAGCCGAGCAGGTTTTTGTTTTTGAAACGATTATTTTATTTTATTATTGTATTCATCACTAAATAAGGGACTCCCCGCTGTAGTTTACTTAGGAAGCGGCTAATTATTGTTGTTGCGCTAACGGTAATGCGATACAAACTTTCGATACGACTTTTGTGATTTTTTTTTAGCCGTTTAGAGTGTGTGTGGTGGAGTGGGAGGGGGGGAGAGCAGACATATGTGAAGCATCGGTTGCGGTGCTGTAACCGGAATTCCGTGCGGTTGCCAACGCACTTCACAGGATGCGGACGGATTGTCCCGCATGGCCTCGGAAGGAAATAATATGTTAAAATATACTTTTGTTATTATTATAATTCGTTTTGAATTCGTGCCGAGAACTCGGTTGAGTTTTTGCCGTGCACACCACCAATAATAATTTCAGGTCTCCGTGTCTCGGTCCGGCCTGCCTCGCAAGTCGATAATCACGATTCAACATTTATAATATAGTATCCATCGAGTCCGCGGAGTGTGTCTAAACCGAATTCGGGTCAATCCGATCTAGGCCAAAACTATGACTCTTTGAATGGCAAGACATGTCACTAATATAAAACACTGTTAAGGGGCAAGCTAAAAATGATAAATGAGTTATGTTAAACTCAATGAAATGTTCTTGAGCGCGAAATTATAATAATAAGCAGCCGAACACCCTAATAGAGTTATATATATATATATATATATATATATATATATATATTATATGAAAATTATATGCGGTCATCAGTATTAACCACCGCCAAGTTGGTACTAGTATCTACACTAACCATCGTCCAACAACCCCCCCCCCCGCAAGGGCCATACAAAAAGTGGTTAATATACTAATCATCGCCTCTTGAAGAGTTAAGTGTTCACAATTTAAATCGTACCTAATGGATTGGACCAATTAGCGTATATCCATAAAAGGCACATTTAAGGTCTGACGGTATTATCATAAGATGATTGATATCGAAAAGTCCTCAAAAGAACAGGAAAGCGCCAGTGGAGCATGTCAAAAGACATGCTCCAAAATATATTGCACCAAAATATATTGGCGAAAACTAAGTGGCAGGGCTGGACGGGTGAATGATGTATATTTACTCTATTAGATAAAATTAAGTTAAGTACCATAATGATCTATTCGGATCGTAGGTTTACATTAAGTGCATATAGAAAAACAAATAAGTGTACAAGAATACATTAATTTGGGGGACAAATTATAGTTTTGAACTTTCTTATCAGAATATATAATTATTAAAGACACAATGAGAAAAGTACATTTAATACAACTATTGAATTACACAAAGAAATATTTAGGTCATTAAAAAAATAATGATTCAGGTCAATAATGGTTTGTAGTGATTTTAAGTATGCTAAACTTTTGAATCAATTCAGTACAAAGACCTGGCTTAAATCTAATTGTTTGCCTAATATTTAACGAAGTACTAAATTATGAACAATTTGTATTTTTATTATGTTAAAAATATATATAAAAAATATAGACAACAGCTATTAAATATGATTTTGAGTTAATGAAGACGCTAATAATAACAAGTCGAGTGTATGACAAAGTTAATAAACTAGGTAATACAATATAGCTCATTAATTAAACATACCTATAATATTATTTTAACTTAAACTAATTACAATATCAATTTGTTCAGCCGTGGACTAATGTACATACTATATTATACAAACGGAATTTGTCTTGTACTTTCGTGAGTTAATTGTTAGGCTATATATGTATAAGTTGTTGCCGTTTATTAGGTTATTTTTTTAACCTACACCAATCTTCTTCCAAACTATTTAGTCGATTCAATTTCGTTTATGACCATCATCTATTCTCGGTTAGCTGTTGGGTCATTTGGCTCGCGTTAAACGTGCGGGTACACGGTTTTCGTTTAGTGTCTTTAATTCGGGTTAATTAAAATATGCTCGAGCAACGGTAATAATTATTGTTCTGCAACCGAATATTACATATTATTATTTCAATATTTGGTTCGTGTCTGTTGTGTTAAGTGTTTTAAATAAGCGTCGGCAAGACTATTTCATCTCCGTGGTCGTTTGAACGTGTTAAATTCCTAGCGGAACACGCGACACCGACGATCAATGTTAATTAGTACGACATGTAAAACGGTTTTTTATTCGGAACTAACGCGGAACGAGCTGTTTGTGGCATTCAAAAAATGCACACACGAAACCCGAAATAAAAATGTCATATGTTTAATTTACCGTTTGGCCATAAGATGATAGCACCGTGTCCTCAAAATAGATTCCAGTTGAACTTAGTCGGTGAATTCTTCGTGCAACAAATACATGTGATCATGTAGCAAAAACAAACGTCATCGTGTGGATATTTTATTTAGTGACCGGTTTTTTGGATTAAAAAAACAACTCAATACCACTCATGATGAAATATTTTTATACTACACAAAACGACTTCAATAGTATAAAGTTTGTATTTTTAATTAACTGGGAAAAAAATTCGACACACTATTCAATCAGATAAAAATTGTAGTTGTCCAATAATTTAATAATTATCAAAATAAGGATATTAAAACCAAATCAATAAACGAAAAACAAAGTAAAGTGTAACGCTCAATTCTAGATAATTGTTGCACTCAATTCCTTAAATTAAATCAATCTTACTAGGAAAAAAAACGATAGATGTTTTTTAATACGCTTTCTAGAGATGCTTTGTTTTTTTACAGTAAAAAAAATCAGGATTGAAATTTGAAATGTACTTACTGATAAGTACTTAATATGGGTAAGCTATGATAGTAGAAATAGAACATTATTTTTGTGGCGATTGCCCTTTCAAAAATATTTGGTATTATTAAGCATTCCCATTTAAGCAAGTAGTCCCTAGTAGTAATAATATAATATTAAACGGGCAAAAAACTTGGGGAAGTGTTTATTAACTTATGGGCTCCTTAATGAGTTTTGCCTTATAAATCAAAATGTCTAAGTCAGGCCCTTGACTTTCAGGGGGACTTTTAGGGGTTTTGACATCATCATCTTTATTATCTTCCTTGGCCGAAGTTTTCATGAGCAATAATTTTCCAAATACTTAGCTTATATACAGAGTGATTCTATTATCATGAACCAGTATCTTACTAGTTTTAATTAATAATTAATTTTTTTTTTCATATTCTTTTTATACAATGTAATCTCAATTTTTACATTTTTTTTTGTTTTTACCACTCTCCCAACTTAGATTTTTTTTGACAGCAACTTTTGAAACTTAAATGGTAACGTATATATTTTATTACCTTTTTAAATAGAAACTAATGTATTTCAAATATTTCAATCAGTTTCGGATAACTATTTTTGAAGTTATAAGAGTTTAAAAGTTAGGATGTGAGGGGAAGTGGAGTGTAGTATTATTTTTATCTGTGCGCATTTCCTAACCGCACTTCCCCTCCCATCCTAACTTTTCAAAATTTATAATACATTATTCTCTATTTAAAAAATATATACGTTACCATTTAAGTTTCAAAAGGTACTATCAAAAAATGTAAGTTGGAAAGGGGTAATAACTATCCTTCCGCTACATTAACGTATGAAAAAGAAATCAATGGAAAGTTTCCTTTCTTTGGTTTACCAATTGAAGAAATATACATTCATTAAGGGTATGAGATTTATTGTATTAAAACACACACGTTAAGGTACATCCTTAAGGATTTAAATCAAACAAAAGCATTAAATAGTTGGGTTTTCAAATTAGTCAATATTTCTCAATTTAATGGATATAATGCAGATTTGAATTTTAGGTTAGCTTATTAACATAAATGGTCAAGGGAAAATGGAACAGACAGCTTAAGAAAATCAGTAAAATTACTAAAACATCTAAATAATTCTAACTAATTTTAGGTATGTTAAAAATAATGAAAATTAAGTTGTTAAACTGGGACTTAACCTAAAATTTGTATAAAAAAGGTTAGTTTGCTCGTAATCGGTCTAAGTACACTGTTGTGAGCGCAGACGGTGGTAGCATTAAACACTTAAGTGTATTATTTTTTGTGATTAAGTGTTTTTTTTAAATATTTTATTACTTTATTTCTTTACTTAATTAACATATTTTTTTCTAAGTCTCGGAATTAGTGTTCGTCCAAGTTTAGATGTTAATCAACTAATTCGAATTATGTAAAACTGAATACCGCCGTACCTTGTTTTAAAAGGGTTTATATAGATGCCTCCTAGTCCTAGTAAACCTTCAAGAGATAAATTGGTTTACAGCGCACATATAAACGTAGTAGTTAAATTAGTGCGGTTAGATGAACGTCGTTATATACATATTAACGACTACATGTCAACGCACATAGTAGTATTTATATGAAAAATCATTTTATGAACTTAAGTGGTCAAAAAAACAAAATACACAAGAAACTAAATTTAATGATAATTTATTTAAAATCACAACAATTCAATAATTTCCACAAGTTTTTGTTCCAACAACGAAAGCTTCTCGTCCATATTCTTTCCTCGAAAGACGAAACTCCTGAGGTATGGAATTAAAGAGTAAAGCCCTGTCTTGGTAAATTCCTTATAAAACACCGACGAATTAAAAAAAATAGAAATAGGATTATTTGAGTTAATAAAAATAGTATTGATCAAATAGTAAAAGAATACTAAAAGAACTTGATAAAAGTTTAACAAACATGTAATTAAATATTTTTTAAATTAAAAAATGTTAAAAAAAAAAATTAAAGTCTAAATAAAATGTGCGGTATTTTTATCAACTTTAAGTAAGTAGTTAGAAATGTTGTACAATAGATTTTCTACTGTTTATAGATATTTACTATTTTCTGATATTTGGACTACGGCTTTTAATTTGTTGATTTGAAATAACAATACAAAATGGCAGAAAAATGAGGAAATTTTTTTTTAAATTTGTTTTAGCAGAGTCTTAATATTAACCATTGGCCAACAAAATTACCTGTATTCCCAAAACATTGTAAAATATAGCCTCAATATATGTGTAAAAAAATGTTTGTCAACTCACCAAACCTAACCGGCCGGGCATTTGGTTAGTCTTAAGAACAAGTTCACGAAATTGTTTCACCAATCAGACGAATTGTAAATCTTTGACGTTTACTATACCGTTACCGTCGATTTAGAGTTTTTATTAAACGTTATGAAGGTATTATTAGACTTTGGGTGTATTATAGGCAATAGTACTGTTCATGATACAATTATTATTGTGTTATAGTTATGCGACATATCCTTCTCTGGAGTCTTAAACTCGTTTGCCGGCGAGACGGTGGCAGTAGGTACGGCACGCACTCGACTGACAAAACCGATAAATTAATGCGAGCGCACGGTATTCCATAGGATTTTAACCAAGGGACTTTAAATGTATACATCGACTGTTAAATAATGTTATGTTTTTTCACATTTAATAACAATAGGAGCGGTTACGATTGGCTGAGCGGTTTTCACAATAGCCGGTAATCATACTTCAAACGTAGCACGTTGAGTTTTGCTGTTGGCGTGCGGGATTTAAACGAATCACAAGCACAATACTCAAATGGTATGTATAATATAGACAAGGGGCGCCCTCAGGTGAAAATTCAGGGGGGGGGGGCTATGATTTTATAAATTTTACAAATTTGGGATATCGGATATACTTTTTCTTAACTTGCGGAGAAGTTAAAGGGGGGGGGGAGAGTTGTCCCCTGTGGCACCCTTGAATATAGACTCATATTATGTCTGTATAAGCAATGTTATTCATTCTACGTTTTTAAATTTTTCTTATTTCTATAAGAGTGTGAATGGAAATAAGACAAATTAAAAAAATGTTTAAGGGGCAAAGACGGGAAACATTTAATAATTTGTATTCTTTATTCCATTCCAGTCATACCACCGAATTTTTCCGGTAAATTATTTATTACAAGTATTTTACCCATATGAACCTTTTAATTTATTATAACAAATTTTATTTGTTCATTAAAATAACCTAACCTAGCCAACAGAAATATAGGCTATCGATAAAACCAGCTTCGTTTACTTTTTAAAATATTTAAAATACTCTCAAACTAAAGCATCTGTTTACACCTTGATATTATAGTGAACTACTCATAGCTTTCATTATCAAAATCGTCTTACTTAATACATTTCACTTGATGTCTTATATCAGCTTTAAGGCGGCAAAAATGAGTACCAACTACCAGGTGATTTTAGATTAATTCAACTCACTTAACTACCTTTAATTCGTTAATAACAACAATAATTTTGATTTTATTCTTTTAAACCTCAATCATTGAAACTTGAACAAATTATAAACCTTTATAACCTATATAACCAAAATATAACTACCTATCTATAATATAATTCTCACTTTTACTTTTGATTCACAATTTTATTTTACACTGCCCGCTATCTTTTAAAAAGCGCCTTTGATGTAATATATAGGCAACATAACTTTCGGTATGTTTATAGTTTTCAGAAAACACTATTAACGGCGTTATCACAGTACCTTGTTTTCTATGTTGTTGATCAAGTTGTAAAATTTTGATCACTCTGCTGAAATTTTTTTAAATCTCATAAGTTCTTTTGTATCTTAGTACTTAATACTTTGTACTAGTTCATAATGCATATAATATATATTATAATATGTATTGTATGGGACGTGCTATCGTTTCTGGAAATATATTTTTCATCCTAAATAGGTTTTATGATTTCTTTATATTTTCTACTGTTGCCTTCACACGTTTTGGCGATTTATAGTTACTTTGGCAGAGCCCATAAAAAAAAGGGTAGAGCCCATTAGTTGCCAATATTATCTCCAAATTTCATTACTACCTACCCACGACCCGCATTTCGTCTAACATGATACCGTCAAGTTGGATTGGTTTATTGCTTATATATTACATTTTTTTGTTAGAAATCCAATATATATTGAAAAAAAGTCTTTAGACTCGGGTTAATACTATTATATTTATTCAAAAATTTGCGTGTACAATTCCTAAATAGGATTGTTGTTATTTTGTATAAATTCAGTATCGTAAATTGATTTCTCATGTTTAAAATTTGTAAGTAACCAACTATATAACATTATCATTTTAATTCAAACTTATAAGTTTTTATTTGGTGTTTATTTAAATTTTGCCTAGTTTTTCCAGTGACCGCCCACTATTTGCTGTGCTACCTCTGCTTTTTTACTGTATTTATATAATAGCTAGAAAATGACAATAAACTAAAACTGCTAGGAACACAATTAAGTTTAACGGTCCTAACGGGTATATGTTCCTAAATAAAAAAAAAGTTTAACACCTACATTATTAGTTCATTTAAAAAATCAATCAATGATCAAGTTTATGAAGGGTATGAACACCCTCTAAAAATGTCTCAGCTGTTTATTATAAAAATCAGAATGAATAAAAAAACAAAAATGTTATGAGTATTTGAAGAGAACACTTTATTTTGGGTAGTTAAAATGTATTATAATTTATTTATGTATAATAAACTTTAAGACAATTTTTATGTAAAAATGTTGATAAGGTACTATACAGTACACAAAATAAATTTGAATGTTTCAAGTTAGATAAATTCAACAAAATTGGTTTATTAACTTTTAAAAACGTTTATTTTTTATTAATACTTGTTGATTTTTTCGTTCGTTAAAATATGTTCTTGTCGGATTTGTTAATTTAATAATCAATTATTATTTTGTTGGCATATTATTAACAAACGTTTTGTATGAAAACTACATTAGCACTCAACAACGATCAATTCAAAGAAAAATGTTACAATCGTTATCCTGGAAGTTTATATAACATAAGTAAGCCTTATTAGTAGTTAAATGAGACAATTGAGAAGGTGCGCTAATTTAAGAAACAATGAAATATCAAATACATTTAGGCCGAATAAGAAAATTATGGATGTTGTTTATAAAGAAAAAGCGGCGTTTTCTTTGAATATAAAAATGTAAGTACTAATTATTATAACAAACGGAACAGAAAGAGAATTTGTTAATGAACGAATAACTGAGGTAAAATATTAAGATGGAATTAGACGAGTCGGCAGGCCTCTGTTATTGTAGCCACTTGTTGATAAGACGCATATTTTTTAAAATTAATATTCAAAGTTACAATCTTTGGAAATAATTCTGTTCAATTTCTGTTCGACCGATTCCCATGAACAAAAGTCGCAAAACGTACCGTCGTCCAATTGTATATTTATGATACTTTCGTTGACGTAGAAAGCCACTTTGTCGCCTTCCTTTTTGCATCTGTAGTACACGCCAATCACGTTTGCGGCGAATGGACTGAAAAACGTTGTTCTCCAGTTTCTATCGCGCTGTTTTTCAAAGTTGTCGTGTCGCAAGGGTTCATCATTAGGGCCAGGGGCTCCTAAGCCTAACATGACGATCGCACTGATTATATTGGACCTGTGTGAAACGTAAAAAATACCTTTCGGGGTCCTCGGGATGTGTTTGGCCTGTTCTCTGTTTAGCATTGAACACATTCAATCGTTAGTACACTGTTGATTTATATAATAACACTTTTTTAAAAATGAATATAGTATACTTGAAATGACTACTGATATGTCTTAACATTGGACAAACTAGTAACCGGTAAGACGGGTTGCCGTAACCGAACAGATTGTACCAGTATAGGTCGTCTGTGTATTCTAAAGTCTGCAAAATGTTTATTGAATTAGAACGCATTAATACAATTTCGAATTGAACGCGATACACATGTTTTTTACCAATTATAATATGTAATTGTATATTATATTGTTTATATGTATATACATTTAATGTATACGCCCAATGTACGTTAAATAAGACAAAGACAGACTTAAGTTTAACACCTACCTCGAGGTCCTTTCTACAGAACACTCTGCACCAAGCAGGAATCGAGTTCACTAATCGACATTTGTCAGATCGACAAGACTCATACATGGTTCTTATGTTACCTGTAATTAAATGTTAAAAGCCAAAACAACTATTATATTATTATTTTGCTTTAGAGAGATTTGCTTATACAACAAATTCATCGTTTAATTAATATGCATCCAAGTTTAATAACTTATTGATAAATATTTTTAATTATTTCAAGTCCGTAATTAAGTTATATATTAAAGTTTTTGCTCGATTTGTTTTTACGTTTTACTTGATAATGTCGTATCTTATAATTTTATGCATTTCGAATAACTTAAAGAGCAACAAATAACAATATGATTATTTATTCTACAGAAAGTGAGACAGTAAAAATACTAAAAGCATACACTGCGTAGTATAACTTATACAATATATTATCTTATAATTAAAAATTAGCCTGATAAAATTCAAGGTACAAATCGGTATTATTATTAAATTATTAATTAAACGTTTACCAAGAGTGAGTTTGTTTTGTAGTCCCATCTTGTTTGATACATTGGTTATTACTTTTTCCATAAATGCACTTTTTTCAAATAGTTTAACTTCTTCTTTGCTTCTTTGAACATTGTCAGCGTTATTCTCTATCTTAGATTGTAAGGTGTATAACTAAAAATAAAAGGATAATATTTTAATGTTGTATAGTTAATAAGATTTATGAGTTAATGGCTAATATATTTTCCTATAATCCTAATTTATCTCACTTTGAGTACTAGACACAAAACATGTTGACTCTTGAATAGTCCTAGAACCATAATACATGTCTAGGTCATATTTTATTTTGCCCTAGAACTGACTACACATACCTACTCAATTTTTCGATAGTATAATATTATCTTCTTTTAACCCTCGCAATAATGTCTGTTATAAGGAAATCTAGTCTGCGTATACTTTGTCGAAAACCTCTCATTATAATTTTAACCGTACTTGAAACATGTAATCCGATAATAGTTTTGAAAACAAACATAGATTTTCTCAATACTTACTTGGTGTATCGATCGAAGTACATTTTCAATTTTTGTTTTTAATATTATTGCAAAACTCATTAAAAAAGTTTAAAGTTGCAATTTTTCACGTAAAAATGATTAATTAACTATACAAATTTTTAAAATTGTACCTAAATCGATCTGTACCTTGTAAATGTTGTGAAGAATCCAAATGTTTTTTCAAAACCTAAGTCGAAGTATTTTTAGAAACGTACTGTTCGAAGTAGAAGCATGTGCTGTATTGTACAAAAATAGGGCGTATAAAAGTTTAAAAAAAACTAAGTAACAAAATAGATATCTCTTTCCTATGTATATGTTTACAAATTTTAGCTTAATGTTAAGTTTTAGTAATATTTGACTATAAAATTCGCTTTATAAAGTATAATTGAAACATATGTTTCTAATGGTATATGTGGTTATTTAACATATCATTGTAAAGTATGGTAAAGAAGCAACTCCAACCTATAATTTAAATTTGATTTTTTAACTTGGAAAAATTACTTATGCTATTATAATAATATTGTTTAATTGTGTATAATTTAATTAAAAATCTATGAATCATTAGGATTCTGATACTTGTTTTAAACATTATTACACACAATAGGGCTGTGACTAGTTTGTCACAATTCTAAATATCATGCCTTTACTATACTATTGAATTATACCCGAACATTTTTATAACTAGTACATAATTAATTGTTTTACTCTTAATACCATACGTTTAGTCTACTGTCGTCTTCTTTGTATTCTGGAATGTCTTTTATATTTATATGGTCATCTAAAAGGGATTCCATGAAATATTGAGCACTGGCCTTGCAACGTTTTTCTGGAGCCGATAACACCTGTACTTGGAAAAAAACGCTGTATTATATGTTTATAAGTTAGACATACATGTATAGATTTTAATATAAGTATATACTATGTAAAGTGGTATTGAATTGTATTTCGTATTTTTACTAATAATTGTATTTCTGATAAAATGATTGTAAAATCTTTGTATGTCTAGTGTCGCAATATAGCATACCACATAGTACATAACTTTTGAAAAAGGCAGCCCGATTTATATTTAAATAATAAATTATCTCATACTTCATATGATATTGAGTTGTACGGTGTGGTAAGCAGTTCAGGAAACGACTTCCTAATGCTTGAACCCAGACCCATCATATCTATAATTCCTTGTTCATTTAGATCTTTGTCTGATTTATCACTGCTTGCAGCATTTTCCCAACTTTTGATAGTAGCAATGTCTTCTACACATAATCTTGCATTATTTGTTTTCAGTACATTAGTTGTCAGTAGGTTTTTGAGTTGAGTCAATTCTATAGACTGTTTTCGGATAAAGCCATAGGTTGGAGATCTCGTTCCGTGTCTAGCTATCATAATTATTTGGCTTGCTTTACATCCTATGTAGTAACACAAAAACACATATATTGTATAATGTACACACTATTGTTGTATCGTATTTTTTTTTTTACAAATAAGCAAAGTACATGACAATTAGTTCTTTCAAGAAGTAAGAAATAAACAGAATTAGATAAAAAAGCATAGAAATAAGCGTGTTCCGACTTAATCGTAGAAAAGAAAAAAAAATAGAATATGAATATAATTAAGAAATACATTATACATTAATTAATATGTATAAATATCTTGCTTCGGGCTATAATTAAACTAATCTTAATTACTTTAACAAAAACGTGGTATTCGAAAATGATTTAAATTATATTTTACCTTGTGGTTTAACCAATTGTCTCTTATCATTAACAGGATAAACAGACTTTGTTCCAAAGTTCCAATATGGATTGCTATCTTTATAACATTGAAACGGCGAATTTATTGTAATTGGAGCCCCATATAAATTACTCGTAATGAAATCTAACACTAGGATGATCACGAAGGTAAAATTCATAATTGTGAACTAAAAAAATAAAAATAAATAGATTTTCATATATTGCATTGTATAAATGGATAAATCAATACATTTTTCATAAGTTCATCAAACAAGTAAGAAACAAAAAAAAATTTGTATCATAATATATATATTCTGAAAAATTACTATAAAAACTAAAAAGATTAATAAAATAAAATTTGAAATAATTACTAACAGTTAACTGATAATCTCCATATGTATGTTTGTATGTTTGTATGTCCTTTATGTATTAGTACACTATTCATCCGATCGCCATGAAGCTTAGGGAAGTTGTTGAGTACCGCGAAGATAACTGGCATAGTACTTTTCGATAATTCCACCCCTAAGGGTGGCCTCAAACACGAATTTTGTACATTAAATACCAAACATTTTTCGGTAACCATGGTAACCACGGTACTCGAGCGAATGCTAGGTGATGATTAAAGGAATAGGTCGATTCTATGTACCACGATTCTGGGCAAGCTTTTAACTGTTGGAACGGGATCTGGGACTGGGACTTGGGGCCTTGAGTAAGAGGGGTATATAATCAATATAATGTAATGTACATATGTAGATCCAAAAAAAAAGCCGAGACGGGTATGCTAAAGCTTTACAATATACAGCCTGGGGTCTTGACTTTTTTATCTTATTTGTAATTATTTTACTCAGCCCTGGCAAACTAAATTCCAGGCAACTCCTGATCGGGACTGCTTGTAATATAATATAAATAATACAACTGTTTTTAACACTCCAAAAAAATATTTTAATTTTCATATTTATTACTCCCTTAAACTAGTGAATTTTTTTTTTTTAAATTACAAAAGTTTCTAGCACATATTATATGTAATTTATAATAGAGAGATTTCATTATTTGAGGGTTTATAATTGATTAGAATCATGAATAAACATACTAGTCTCCCTTCTAGAATATTGAAAGGTGTTATACTCTTTACTTTTATTACTGATTTTTGGATCAATAATGTATCATTTGTGTCTGTTGTTAAGTTGTATAGTACTAATAATTTGCATTAGATAATGCAGTTTACGAATTTTAGCTTTGATATAAAGCTGAGAAGGTATTTTTCGATCATAGGTTATTTTTCTCTTAGAGAAACGTAGTTTACGGGATGGTACTACAGGATGGTACAAGGGGCAAAAATAATAGATTTCTTAGACCTATTTGTATGCCAAAAACTCAGGGGTTTTCGGGTTAATTTTTAAAATATCCATCAATAATATAAATAAACCATATCATACAATTTCCTGAAAAATTCTTTTATAATAAGGGTCGATTAGTTCAGTTTTATTTTTGTGAGAACTTGCCTATAAAAAGTTTTACTACGACGTAAGTCATTTTTACGGCGTACGTTGGCTTTTGTAAAATTCCATGGTATGGTTTATTTTTTATGAATATTTCACAAATAAACCCTGAAAATCTGAGTTTTTAACATACATTTGTTTTCTTTAATCTTCTCTTAGAACCATCTATGTAGTACCCACCAATAGAGTGCGACTTTTGTTTCTAGTACAGACTACACTCTGTATGTACGTCAAAACTGACGTCTGATAATTATATAGGTTTTTATTACTTATTATATGTAAGTATCAATATTGTCGACCGCCCGGTACAGGACATTCCCGATTGGTTAGATTTGATGTTCCATTTGTATATGTCCTCAGTGCTAGTATATAAAATATGATGATGGGATGAAGTTAGTGACGTGTTTATTTATTTATTGACAATTAAGTAACAATAAGAGTCGAGGGATATAGGAATTATAACGGTGATATATACTATAAAATTGCTAACGAATATGGATATTTATTAAAAAGATGAAATATTTAAATAAATTCATTTGATTTACTTTATGAGCTGTTGAAATACGTACCCGGTAACTACATAATAAATCTGAATAATACTATTAATTTTCAGACGTAGTTATTAAAAAACATGAAATTATTTGCACTATAAATAGTCAAAACATAACTGAGACTTCACATAAACATGATGTACATTGAGCGTTCGGTATCAACATAATATTGTCGGTTTTAAAGATTCTTCCCTCTAAATTGTACTTTTATGCTCCGGTCGCCAAGAGAATATGGTTGGAAAGAAATCTTATAAAATACTACATGCTATTATATTTCAGAAAAAATTACCTATTGAATACGCGCTGTACTCCTTAGATAGAATCCAATTTTTGTGTTCTACCTATAAAAAAAAAAAAAATAAAAAGTCTGTAGTTAAGTTATAAAATAGTATTGATGCCATCAACTGATAAGACATGTATGAAAAAATAAACTAAAATAAATAGTACACCATTTATAAAATGTATACCTATCAACTTTAGTGGTAGATCGAGCTCTTCGTATTAAGCAGGTTTCCTGTAGATTGGCTACTTTTTTAAATGCGTGTTCAATATCTTGATCAATTCAGTTTTAATGTATTCCTTGACTTCGGTTATGATGAGATCATCTCTATACAGACCACAGAGTTTTCGTCACAAATATCTATGTGTATACATTATAAACTAAATATAAACATACATACGATATAAAGATATATATTTGTTTTATGATATTATATATTAAGCGAGCAATATATGTAAGTTATACATCCGCAATATTCCTGACAACTTGAAGGATTTTTTCGAAATGGGGCGAATAGATGGTAATGAGTGTTTATAGCAATCGCAGTAACTCGATACATTTTTAACCAAATCCTTATTTGATCTAACGAATTTAATTATTTTGAAAAAGCATTTGTCGAGAAAAACTCTCACGCAGTTTGAATTATATTGTTTAATACATAAATATATAATAATAATATTTTTAGGACACTGCAATATCAGATTTTTTAAAAATTATTTAACGAATAAAATGCATTAAAAAAATTGCTAAAGCGGTTTTATATTTTAATAGTATTTTACATAATATTATGGTTTGAAAATAAAATTTAACTCTTAGGAATCACAGCGAAAAATCAGGTAAAGAATTAATAAAAAAAATGCATACTGTGAACTGTGTTTTTCTCGGAAAACACATTATCTATTGTTACAACTTTACGACGCACTCGTGTTTCTTAATATCAATATTTTTAGTACTTTAAAGTTTGGTAGTAAACACAACCAACTCACAGTCGGTAACTGTATTCATACAGAATTGTTTATTTTCTGCTATCGTATCGGGTTTGAACGCGTACGGAATATTGACTATAGATGGCAAGACTTAAATGATGAAGCCACTTTGGTAAGAAAAAAAAAACAAAAAATATTGAAGTATTACACACGTGTACTGAAAACCTACGGGTCTTAAACAATAAAAAATCAGACACTTTAGAATAGGATATTCCACAAAAGATTTTTTTGTATTATTATATACATACGTGACTACCATCTGGCGACGCCTGAATGTGCAAAATAAATAGACCGCCAAGGCTTACAAAATGTGTCCCAATTGATTTTGTATGTAATGCATCACGAACGTCAGTATTAGAAAAGATTTGGCTTTTCGATTAACACACACACACAAGATCGAAAAAATATACATTATTATTACACAAGTATGAACCTATAAATGCTATAGACGATAAATGAATCAGTGCTTAAACCTGAAATATTTAATACTTAAAACAATAATAATATTATCTAGCAATAAAAACACTACAATATGTCATAGCAAAGGTTAATATGCACACATGAAAATAAATCTCTGATTTAGAGTATATAAGTAAACAGAGAATTTAAAAAAATCGTTTTCACACTAACACGCAAAAGTATAATCTTGGTGTATGTATAATGTATACTAAGTACTAACCAAAAGTAGAACATTTTGTTTTCTATTGTTTCTTCTGCCTCAAATAAAAAAAAACAAAATAACACTAAATGATTTCAATTATAACTTCCATCATAACTCTAGTATGTTCTATATTACATAAGTAAAAACAAAATATATGATTTTTGTAGAAACTTTAGAAATTACTACTTTTCAAATAAAAATAATTAAAAAGTACGGTTTGAAGTAGAACATTCTATGGTTTTGCGCAAAAGTAGGGCCTGTATATACAACAACTTACCAGGTAATCTCATTGCTTTCACGGATGTTATTGGGCGTTTATGGAATAACTTGTTGGCCTCTAGGCTTTTGCGGTATCATGATAATAAATTCTTATTAATTAATTATTATCATTGATTCGTTTGGATCCGGCGTACAATTAAATTTTTAAAACGTTCGCGTACTTAATATATTGTTTCAAGTCTGTGAAAAAAATATGGTTTTCATATAAATCAGTATACTGAACTTTTATTTTTTGTTAGTATTTATTAGTATAAAATGATTATTATTTTATTTTAACCACGCGTGATGTGCTCTTTTCCATGCCCAAATTTCACTATTTTCCATCAATTTCGACATTTTACTTTATCATTCCTGATATTTCTACTCATCGTCCATCTTAATAACACTGATGATGTGTCAATACGATTAACGTGTCAGTTATTGTCGTGGTGCATGTATTTTAATTTACTTATTCGACTCTTTCGCGTTGTAGACGACCGTTACTTAGGCGTTGATTTCGACAAACGACTGCATAAATAACAGACAGACCATGGCTAAATAAATGAGTTTTAGCCATGGAACAGTGTAATTGCTTTTGGTAACTTATTATGACGTGTTACAGTTTTTTAAATATGTAGCTTTAGTTCTTCCTGTTCGATTGGCCTGTAATTAAGAAGAGTGTCTTTACAAAATACTGTATAAATATTTATAAATAGGCCATCGAGTACAAAAATAAATGTTTTACACAAACAATATTGTTATTTCGAAACGAGTTTGTTGTGTTAAAATTTAACAATAATAAAAATATGGTAATAAAAAGGTCCAATTTCGTTTTTATTATAAAGATCCAAATATTACCTAATTTCACATTTTTATTACTTATTTTTTATTACATTTTTATTTGAACAAGTTTGTATTTGTTTTTAAATAAATTATTTGGTATTTTTAATTATTTAGTTAAATAAATATTCAGATACCTTCTTTAAAATAATCAATACATGGATTTTTAGGGTTTTGTTTTATCATAACTATAATAAAAAAAAATATCTGGGTGTAAATTTATTTACCTATAATTATATAGATGTGTCTAAGTATGCTTATATAAGTGCTGTTTTAAAAATGGTGTTTAAAAGAACACATTTAAATAAAAAATGAATTTAAAACAGTCAAATAATTTATTATGATCGAACAAATATGTTTTTTATAATAACCAGACTGATAATATTACATTTGTTTTTAATTTAATAGCACTGTAGCTACTTTAACATCAACATTTTTAAAATATTATTCTATCGTATCTTAGTTGTCAAAAATTATTATTACAAATTAATTTTACTTTATTGTTGTTTGTTTAAGTTGCTGTTCAAACAGCAATCACAGCTTAAACAAAATTAGACAATTATTAGAATAACTATTATGATAATTTATGCTTATTTAATCTTCCATGGTGTTACATTGTTTATTATTTCATTTTTATAACAATATTTTTAGTCATTAATGTATATCTAAAACTAAGCTCCTGATTTTTTCAAGCCCCCTCCCTCTCATCAAAGGAAGAACAATATATTTTTTTACATACTTTAATAAGTACATTATTTTGTATGGATTCATATGAAATTTTAATAATAAGTTAAAGAGTTTAAAAAGAAAATGTTTCATTTGATTTTTGGCTTACGTGCGTAGTTTAAAAGGTATTACGAGGTTTATTAAACTTTTTATCGATATTAATTTTCGCACACTATTATACGAACCATGAAAACATATTTTAGCTCCGATGCAATTTTTATTTCTAGCTTAGAAATTTAGAAGGTAATACGTTTCAAAATTATTTATTACATTGTTTTCCTCGATATGAATTTTTGTTCTACACTTTTATTCAGCTTACTTCTAAATAACATAATAACATATACTCGTGTAATATATAAACGTGTAGCTAGTTAGGTGATATGGTTACATGATATAAAAGAATTTAGACGGAATATTAAATTGTAAGCTATATAAATGTACTGAAACAAAAACTATAATATAACGTCACGGTTAACAATTATTGTTTGCAACTTTTACATCTGTTTACATTGTTTGTGACTATTGCTTTACTATTTTATAATAAAAAACTGATATAGCGAGTAGAACGAAAAATAACAACCAATGACTTATCGTCGCAGATAATAATAAAACAAAATTATTTACCAAATTGAAAATTTGATAATTGTTTTTTTATTTAGTTTATAAAAAAAAGGCTTTTACTAAATTTGTATAAAAATGTATGTTATTAACACCTATACTCTTTTACTTGAACTAGATTTATTTTTAAAATATTTTTAAAGTTTTCAAAGTTTTAATAACACCGAACGGATTTTTCAAATTATTTTAGAAGGTAGTTAGGGATTAAATAGTATTGGAACCTTAGAGATTGAAGTATCTTAATTAATTGTATTTAATCGATAACCACGTCATATGTTCTAATAATATAAAATATTAAGTATTATTCCTTATAAACAACAGTTTAACCAACAAATGA